AAAAAAAAAAAAAAAAAAAAAAAAAAAAAAAAAAAAAAAAAAAAAAAAAGAAAGCAAGAGGAGACAATGTAGGGATCCCATGTTGAGAGGTGCTACTTGGGGGATGCTGTTGGGGGTCTGTGGCCCCTTTAATGATGGTGGCCTACACCGTCTCTCCTAGTCTGCTCAGGATCAAGGCCCAGGACTCCTTCAGGGACTCTACACCGGTCACCAACATCATGTTCCTCAAGACGCATAAGACAGCCAGCAGTACCATGCTCAACATTCTTTACCGCTTTTCGGAATCTCACAACCTGACCGTGGCGCTGCCCAAGGACTCTATGTTCCATCTGGGTTACCCCTGGCTTTTCGTGGCACGCTACGTGGAGGGCATGGAGCAGAATGGCCCACTGGATCATCACTTCAACGTCATGTGTAACCACTTGCGGTTCAACTTTCCTGAGGTGGGAAACGTGGAGGCGGGAGAACGGGTGGGCTGGAGGTTGCCTCGCCTGCAGTTTTGGTTGTGTGTGACCGTGGTGCTTGCAGGGGTGGAGGTGGGGTGGAGTGGGGGTGTAGAGTCAGTGGAGGAGTCGTCGGAAGTTGTAGGGGTGGAGAGGCCTGCCTGCAGACCCTGCCAAGGCCTTTCTCTTCAAGCCGCCAGTGGCCTGTAATTGCTCTTGGCATGAGATGTGTAGCCCCAACTCTGTCTTCTTGAGGGCATCTCAACCCTCTCTCATATCCCCGAATTTCTGGTTCTGGAAGAACACACTGGGCTTTTGTTGCCCCTGAACTGTCTGTTGCACCTGCTCCTGCGGTGTGCGAAGGAGTTGGGACAGGTGGGAGTTGGGAACTTTGTGTAGTCCATCTAACACAGGACTCTTGGGGTACCACTTCCTCCTTTTCCAAATAGGTGCAGAAAGTCATGCCCAATGACACTTTCTACTTGTCCATCCTACGAAACCCAGTTTCCCAGCTGGAGTCTTCCTTCATCTACTATAAGAGATATTCGCCTGCCTTCCGGAAAGTCAAGACCTTGGACCAATTCCTGGCAGATCCGTGGAAGTACTACAACGTCAGCACGGGCCTGAAAAATGCCTATGCGAGAAACAACATGTGGTTTGACTTTGGCTTCGACAACAATGCTCAGCCTGAAGAGGGCTACGTTCGCAGGTGCCTCTCGGAGGTGGAGCGCCAGTTCCAGCTGGTGCTCATTGCGGACTACTTTGATGAGTCCATGGTGCTGCTGCGCAGGCGGCTGCGCTGGCAGCTGGATGACGTGGTGTCGTTCAAGCTGAACCTACGCAGTCAGCGTACGATCTCGCGCCTGACGCCAGAGAGCCAGGAGCGTGCCAAGCGCTGGTGCGAGCTGGACTGGCAGCTCTACCAGCACTTCAACCGCACGTTTTGGGCTCAGCTGTACGCGGAGGTAAGCCCCCGCCAGCTCAGAGAAGAGCTGGCGCAGCTGCGGGCGAGGCGTCGCGAGCTCACCACCCTGTGTCTTCAGGACCCGGAGCCCAAGAACACGACGCAGATAAAAGATCAGAATATGCTCCCCTATCAGTCCGGAGATGCTGAAATTCTGGGCTACAATCTTAGGCAGGGTCTGGACAATGCTACACTGCACATCTGTCAGAGGATGGCGATGCCAGAGCTCCAATACATGGCCCACTTGTACTCGCTGCAGTTTCCCGACAAGCCTCCCAAGGGCATACCGTTGCCGAAAAAGTAGGGGTTTGGCTAAGTGACCCTTTCTCCCCAGGCTTCCCGGGGAGCCTTAAACTTGCCAGCCTACCTTTCCCAAGGGAAGAACAGGGTGAAACCTCTGTGTAGAGATCCGCCTATCCCCAGCTCTGGGGAGAGGGCCCAACACCTAAGACGACAGGCACAGCTGGACTCTAGCTGAACCCAACCATTGTAGAGACACGTCCTGGACAGGCCAGAATGCCTTTAATTATCTGTCCGCAGGAGTCAGTCTAAACGGGCCATCAGGTGAACATCAGCCTTGGGGAGCACAAGGGCTTAGGCAATGGCCTGGCGACCCATGAAGAGACTCAGAAAGGCTCCCTGGGAGTTTCTAGCCCCACAGATTCAGCACTGGACCCAGAGCCAGGCTTGCATAGAGCGCGCAGGCAGCAGCTCAAAGGTGGGCCCAGGGGAGATGGGTGAACAGGTGGCCTCCCATCTTTGGCTTTCTGAAGAACGGTGTAGACTGAGAGACGTGAAGGTTGCTGGTTAGCTGAACACAGGTGGGTCCACCTTATAGCAGCGTCCCACTGGACAATCCCGAAGGAGAACGTGCCAGACTTGACAACGGTGCTCAGAGGGTCCCAGGGACCTTTGGTTGCCTTGGAAACCACGACGTGTATAGTCTCAAGGACTTTTTTTTTTTTTTTTTTTTGGTGCCTCTCTTTGTCATTTGTCGGGAGATACTAAGTCCCCAGCCCCCAGTTCTTGCAGGATGAGAAACCTGGTTACGTGGGGTGCCTAACACCAGGTAGCCTAGGGAAAGCAAGGTGCCCGGTGTCTTGGGAAAGCTGCCACTGTCACATGCTCAGCCTACAGCTTCAGCTTGAGTTTTATTTGTTGAGCCTGAGTGGAGGCTTTTCTTCTGTGTTGGAGCCTCCAGCTCGGGGCAAGAGGGCCTGTGCTCCTTTGGACAGCAATTTAATAGGGGCACTTTAAGAAAAGTAATTGTCAGTGAGTTTAGAGATGGTACAACGAATTTATCAATCCAAAAGAACATTGTACATTGAAAAATGACTTTCCCAAAGCGAACAGAGTTAGTCAAGAATGCCATGGTGGCCCTGGCCTTTAATCCCAACATTGGGGAGGCAAACAAAGGCAAGCAGATTTCTGTGTTCAAGATCATCCTGGACAACATAGTGAGTTCCAGGACATCCAGGGCTACAGAACAAGATCCTGTCTCAAAACAGAACAAAACAGAAAGCCACAAACAAACCAAAGACCCAACCAATCAAACAAAAGCGAAACCAAGCTTCTGAATTTGGATGAAATTACTCTTAATAAACTTGTGTTCTCTAGAAGAGCAGGAAGTGCTCTTAGCCTCCGAGACATTTCTCTGGTTCCTTAATTAGAACTTTACATTCTTAGTAGACTTAATTCTTTTTCTTTTTCTCAGTTGTGGAGACTGATCCCAGATCTCTAGTGTGCTAGGCAAGTGATTTAACAGTGAGCCACGTCCCCAGCCCTGAACCCTTAATTTCAAGAAAGACTCAGGAAGAAAGAGCATTCAGTTGTTTCTTTCATTCATATACATGTATATGTATGTATATACGTGACAATTGAATATATGGGACAACCTTCAATTGTCATATATATATGTGTATATATATATGCATGTGTGTGAGCAATTCATGAAAATATTTTGTTTCTTTGAAAACATGCTTTCTCTCAGGAAAAATGTTCTTTATGTAGAATAGGATATATTTGTTGGCAGACACACACACACACACACACACACAGACACAGTATTTTCTTAGACTATAAAAAGCCAAGAGTACTTGAATTACAGTCAGCCACTGATGTTTTATTGTTTTGTACTTAGGAATGATTCATGAGTTTTTATGACTTAATTTAAAATTTTTATAAACATGGATCCCATTTTACTCATACACTATTTTTTACAACTATACCTAAATTAGAGTAGGAGTGATTCATGGGTTTCTATGACTTAATTTAAAATTTTTATAAACAGGGGGCTGGAGAGATGGCTCAGTGGTTAAGACCACTGCCTGCTCTTCCAAAGGTCCTGAGTTCGAGTCCCGGCAACCACATGGTGGCTCACAACCATCTGTAATGGGGTCTGGTGCCCTCTTCTGGCCTGCAGGCATACAGACAGACAGAATATTGTATACATAATAAATAAATAAATATTTAAAAAAAATTTTATAAACATGGATCCCATTTCATTCATACATTTTTTACAACTATACCTAGAATAGACATAAAAATTAAGTTATCAGTTAAGCAAAGTAATATTTATTTCGTATTAAAGACTCTACCCAAAGTCTAATCATTGTCTCAATACACAGGAAGCAATAATGGGCACTGTCCTGCACTCTAATCTATATTTATTCTTTTCACACAAAAACACAATTCTCACCTCAAGGGGATAAGAGATAGTTTATTCTGGAGCCAAAGGCGAGTGAGTGATCATGACCCAGGAACACCAATTCAGGTTACCTTGAACTCCTATTCCTACCTGAAACAGTTTGATGAAGTTTTCATTGTACCAGAACAAAGAAAGTCATAAATTAAGACACATAAAAAATATATCGGTGGAAATGCTAGGCAGACGGGTCTCAGGAAAATGAGGAAATCCCTGCTATAGGCCTCAGGTCCCTGACTGATGACATTCTGAGCCTTCAGGTGGTGGAAACCAGGGTCTGTTTTACTATATTCTCAGAGGTTTATGTCAGGGCCCATAGCTGTGAGTCCATTCCACCTTGCCTAAAGGTCAGAGTTCAAACTTGTTTTCCTTCCTTCCTTCCTTCCTTCCTTCCTTCCTTCCTTCCTTTCTTTCTTTCTTTCTTTCTTTCTTTCTTTCTTTTTTGGTTTTTTGAGACAGGGTTTCTCTGTGGCTTTGGTTCCTGTCCTGGCACTAGCTCTTGTAGACCAGACTGGTCTCGAACTCACAGAGATCCTCCTGTTTCTGCTTCCCGAGTGCTGGGATTAAAGGTGTGTGCCACCACTGCCCTGGCTCTGTTTTGCTCTTTCAAAAGTTGTTGTTGACAACAAGTGGCTACAAGACAAGAGGCCCTGACCTAGAATGGCTAATTAGTAATTTAAGTATGAGGGGTAACAGCTCCATCTTGGCCAAAGGTCAGTGATGCTCTGTTTACGAAGTCTGTTGCCTCCCCCTTCCCTTTTGGAGTTGGAGTATACAAAGACACGTGGGGTTCAGTATTCACTTACTTTTCCTCCTGATGGTGTTCTATGTTTCATCTCTTATTTTTCTCTTATCTCTGTTCCCTTCTGCTTAATAATTATTATAATCCTCATGCTCCTATCCTGGAGCGTGTGAATCCAGTCGAGGCTGGTCCTCGACAGCTGTTCCCATTAGTCACAGATGCTAGGTCAGACACTGGCGGGCAAGAAGTGGATAAGGGGCTTGGCTGTGCTGGCTAGTTTATGTCAGTTTGACACAAGTTTGGATAGTTTATGTCATCTGAGAGGATGGAGCCTCAACTGAGAAAATGCCTCCATGAGATCAGGCTGTAGGGAAGACTGTATTTTCTTAACTAGTGACTGATGGGGGAGGGTCCAACCCAGCAGGGGATGGGGCCATTCCTGGGCCCCTGGCCCTGGATCCCATAAGAAAGCAGACTGAGCAAGTCAGAAAGCAGCCCCCCTCCATGGCCTCTGCATCCATTTCTGGTCCAGCTTGTCATCTTTGCTTTGAGTTCTTGCTTTGCTTCCCTCAATTCAGGATGTGTGAGCCAAAGGAACCCTTTCCTCCTCAATTCTCTTGCTCATAGTGTTTCATTCCAGCAACCCTAGTGATCACAGGCGCTGGAGAGAACTCAGGAGAAGTTGCAGCATCCCAGCCTCTCCACGACTGAGATTCTAACCAGTTAATCAGCCTTGGAGGAGGTTTAATGTAGCTATGGTTCTTTCCAGAAACTTGTCCCAAGTCCCTCTGTTTATTAACTGTCCATTTTGTGTAACTAGGGGCCACATAGCTTTGTTGTCTCACATCCCTAGGATCTGATATAGCTGAGGCTGGATGAAGACACCGTCCCTCTGCCCCGAAAGAAACTCCAGAGAGGAAGCTATTGAAGAGAGCCCTTTGAAACTGTGATAGTGTAGATCTTCACAGCTGGTGGTTTCCCGCAGACAGTGGGGAAAGGGGTAGGCTACCAGGAGTGTGACCATGCTCCCGTGACTTATGGCTGTATGGGCAATACAAATTGGACTTGCTGTTTTGTTTTTTTTTGGGCTGGGGCACAAGGATGGAAGGAATGGGAATTGGGTGTAATCAGGTGCATTGTGTGAAATTCCCAAATAATTAATAAAAATATTATGTTGGGAAAATCCCTAGATTGAGTATATGTTTCCCTTGTATTTATTTATATTCTATAGACTATTTATACTTACAATATTGAAAAAAAAACTATCCTTTAATTTTAGGTTTTCTTTTGGCCAGTTTGATCTAGTTATAATTTCGTTGGAGTGGCTACCTCTAATTCTTCTTCTTCCCTTTTTTTTTTTTTTTTTTGGTGGGAGGGCACTGTCTTATTGTGTATCCCTGGTTGACCTAGAACTCACTGTGTAGACCAGATTGGCCTCAAATTCACATAGATCTACATGCCTCTGCCTTCCAGGTGCTGGGAGAAAGGAGTGTGCTACCATACCTGGCTTAAACTTAAATAAAAAAAAACAAAAAACAAAACTTAAATTCTTAAGAAAGATTGATTTCGGTATCTAAGTCATCAAAATTCTTAACTGTGGATACTGACATGAAAAGATTTTAAGTCTTATGATTGTACAAAGGTTTTAGTTTGGAAAAGTAAATGAAAAGTCACAGGAGGAATTGGGCAGCAATATAGTGTCCTTCTAAAAAATTCTAACACAATTATCTTTGCTTGTGACCTTCATTATTACTAAGAACTGTGATAGAAAAAGAGATCAGCCCTGCTAGAAATCAGAATTTGTTATAGGCCTTGTAGATGTAATCCTTTTTTGTTTGGTTGTTTTTTTTTTTTTTTTTTTTTTGAGACAGAGTCTCTCTGTGTAGCCCTGGCTGTCCTGGAACTTGCTCTGTAGACCAGGTTAGCCTTGAACTCACAGAGATCTGCCTGCCTCCATTCTGTACCTCTGACTCCCTCGGTCTCACTGGCGAACCACGCCCCTGCCAGATTCTAAAACAGAGTTCCTATCTCTGCCTAGAAGTCCTGCCTAGTCTCTCCTGCCTAGCTGTTGGCCATTCAGCTGTTTATTAAACCAATCAGAAGGCGCCCCAGTCAGATGAGGCAAAACAGAGACTGCCGCGCCAGCGCGGGCTGGAACCAAGAGTCTCGGCGGAGGGTGTCCAGGTTGAATGAATACACAGAGCACGAGCTTGAGGTGGAACAGCTTTTTTTTTTTTTATTGTCTGCTGGGCTGGTTTTATACCATGGCACCAAATGAGGAGGGGGCTGCGAAGGGACTGTAACCTGACCCTGGCAGAGATCAAGGACTGGTCACCATGCACTTAAAATTCCTTCCTTCTCCGCTCCAGGAGCAGAGGGAATTTATTATGTTTTCCTTGCAGATAAGCACCTCAAATGGGGGCAGGGATATCAACTCGGGGGCTGCAGTTCCCACAAGAGACAGATATTCACAGGGTACAGAAAGATTTTCCCAGAACAGGTTCACCTTCCAGGGCTTCTGTTGGATGTGTTATTGTCCTTTTGTCAGCTATGGTAAAGCAGGAGACACAGCCCATAGTTTCCTCCAGCAGAATTTTGAGTTCTCTAACTCTTAGGGAGCTCTACTCAGGTAAAGAGCTAAATGGCCAATAGCTAGGCAGGAGAGGGATATGCAGGACTGCCAGGCAGAAAGAATAGGAGGAGAAATCTAGGCTTGAAAGAAAAGAGGGAGGAGAGAGAAAAGAAGGAGAGGTGGACACCAGGGTCCAGGCACCCAACCACACAGCCAGCCATGGAGTATGAAGGGAAGCATGATATACAGACTAAAGCAAGACAAAACGTTCAGAGGCAAAATGTAGTTAAAGGGAAATGGGATAATTTAAGTTAGAAAAGCTGGCTAGAAACAAGCCAGGCTGAAAGGCTGGACATTCATAAGTAAGAATAAGTCTCTGTGTAGTTATTTGGGAGCTGGGTGGCAGGCCCCCAAAGAGTAACAAAATAAAATAATAAAATGAAACAAAACAAACAATTACAGCATAGACTGAATGAAAATTCTATAAGAATTTCGGGTGAAAAGTTCACACCTTCGGCTGAACCTTCTGCTGATGAACAGATTAGGATCCTCAAGTGTGCGTAGACAGGTTCCAAAGTTGCGGCTTCAGTGCCTCGTCACTGTGTGTCTTGGCCGCTCTTTAGCTTCCTTGTGGCTCGTCTCTGTCTGACCTAAGAGCCTTGTGACTAACAGGTAAGGCCCTTTAGAATGTTTAAACAGACTCCCGTCTTTTCCCAGCGCAAAAGTATGTCATCAACTAGAAGCGACAGAAGAGATTGCTGCACTTTAACTTGCTTATCTAATGTCTCGATCAGTGTATTTGAAAAGTGCCATGATTTATGACTTTTTTTTGTACTGTCACCCTAAAAGTTTTATCAAGCTATCATCACATTGTAACATGCAGTGGGAGGTACCCTAAATCTGTGTGCTTCAGGTGTGGCCACTCATATTTGCCTCCAAAATAAACTAAGTCTTTTTTAAGAAGTTTTATTTTATGTTATGTGTATATGTGTCTGTAAACACACCCGTGTGCCTGGTGTCTGAGAAGGTCAGAAGAGGGCGTGGGATCCCCTTGAACTGGAGTTATACATGGTTGTGAACTGCCATGTGGGTTCTTGGAGTCCTCTGGAAGAGCAGCCAGGATTCTTAACTGCTGGCCCGTCTTTCCAGCCCCAGACTAGGTCATCTGAGGTGAAAATCGTGAGATTTGTATTGGCAATTCTGAAACCTGGACACGGGACCCTGAGAATTACCCACTTTTCACCCGAAAGACTCGCTAGATGAGAGCGAGGTACTGGCAACGCTGGTTTTCCAGGTGGATTTTGGTGAGTTCTTTCTGGGACTCAGAGCTCTCTTGATCCATTTTGTTGTTTGTTCTGAGCTGGTTGTTTAGGACCCTATTTGATAAATACCCCCCCCCCC